TTCATCTTTTTATGAATGTAAAAAATAAAAATAATAAAAAGATGATTTTTAAAGGAATCCAAAGGTCCAATCGGGAAAAGAATTTCAATGATGTTTTTTTTTTTTTTTTTGCTTTCTGTTTTATTATCCCACATACCCTTAATGATGGATGCTTGCTACTTCTTGGATCAAATCATGGGTTGATGTGGGTTATTGGGTAGCTAGCTAGGTAGGCATCGAAAAGTTCAAACAGACAAATATGGGCTAGAAAGAAGGATATAGAATAGAGTAAAAAATTTAATCTTAAGATCTCCTAACAACCAGTTGCTTCCTTAAAAGCTCCCAAATCATTTCATCGCGAGGTTGTTTGCTGTTGCAGCATGTTATTTGGGTGGTGGCCAAGCATGTGAAACCCTGTTACTTAATCACCTAACACTTTCATTATGCGCCTTGACTTTTGGGAAATCTTTGGGATTTACCATTAACCACTAGTTTCATTGCCCAAATCAGATTTTGTAATCTTATCCCTCTCATAGTAGTGTAATGATTGAAGTAAGAACTAAGAAGGTAGCCAGATTTGGTAGAGGTTAGACTTTGTACAATATGGTACTTTATAATGTATTTTTATTAAATATGTATGTTACTATCTTTACATCAAACATGCACGTGTACTTTAGAAAAACTATCAAACATATATTTTTATAAAAAATTTCATCTAAAAACCATCAACCACGAGTGAATCATGGTTCAGACTACTTGGTCTAGACAAAGTGGGGGGAAGTGTCATTTTTTACCCTTCATTTAATTCTCTAAGTCTCGTTAAAATAAAATTATAGGGGTATCAGGCTACACAAAAGAAACAAAAAAATAGTATAAGTGAAATTATTAGGGGTAGTTTAAACATTTATGTCACCCACACCATGGTTCGATCGTGGTTGACGTTTTTTATGGAAATTTTAATGGAAGGAGATGTTTGAAATTTTTTTTCAAAATTCAACGGAAAAGAAGAGATTATTTTTTCAAAGTACAAGGGAATGTTTCATGTAAAAACTAGAAGAGAGTCATGTTTGATAAAAGTGCATAGTAAAGAAATATATTATATGTATAACCCTAGAACTTACAAGGGATCATTCATGGGAAACAAATTATACATATTTGGTATACGACAAAGACGATGCATACGATCCAATAAAAATCTAGAAAATAAGAGTGATCAATGTTGAATTTGAAATTTAAAAATGACTCTACCGATTTAAGAACCAACTGCAATAGGGAAAACTATGAATGAAATCAATTTGAGACTAGATATTTATTAATATTCAAATTAAAACTAACTCCAATTGGTTAAGAACGGTTGCTTGAAATAAAAAGAAACTCTTGAACTTGATACAATTTCAATATACCAATTTGATTTCTTTGATTTAAAAAAATCATGTTGGATTGGTAAAAAATGACAAACTTTGAATTTGATGACTATAAATGAGCCGACTTGATTGTTAGAGCACTTACTCTATATCTAAAATTGAAAAAATTGTATATGATTAACAAATATAATCTCGATTAGACCAATTACTCTCAAACAAAGAATATTATAGAAGACATTTTACAATGCTATATAGTATTGGACTATTGGTGCTATATGTTTTTGCTTTTATGGTACAACTTCAGATTGTACATATACTTTTTGTACAAATTCTTTTATGGTACAACTTGAACTTGTACTTTTATGTGATGGTACAACTTGAAGTTGTAAAGTTATACCATAACATAATGGTACAAATTGCTTTATTGTACAACCTAAACTTATACAGTTAATGTTATGGTATAACTTTAAGTTGTACATTAAAGCACCAATGCTATATAGCATAGTAGAAGTACTCATATTATAGATCCATTTAACATACACCATACTCCAATGATATGAAGATGAAAAAGAATGTTTGGTGGGGACAAATCTACAAAATAATACAAAGCAATATCAAAATACAACTTCTGTCACACCAACTTTTATTGAAATGACCACACAGTTCGAAGGGTCTTTATTTTCAATTCAGACTTCGTTTCTTCCTTGTTGTATGTTTTCCAATCTCCTATCAGAAACTGAATAACTCTCCGTCGTTGTCTCTTCCCAACCTCAATCAGAAATAAAAACATTTGAATTACTACCGAAACCTACCTCAATCATCGACTCTTCCCAACTGCAATCATCCGCCATCCTTTTTGCCGCTATCAATCTCAAAGCAAATTCCCTCTCGGTTATCTCTATACTCATCAAAGCTCGCCTCATCTCCCACCTTCTTTTCGACCACACTCGATATGAAATCCAAATCCCCCAGCATCGCCCTCTCTCTCGACTCACACTTATTGTCGTCATCTGTGTCGTGGCTCAATCTGTCTCTCTGGCCATCTCTCTCCCGCAATCTATCGCTGAATCTAAACTTAGCGACAAATTTAACATGATTCCTAATTAGGGTAGACTCACTTTAATATTTTTCCAACTTAGTAATGGAAAAATGGTAGAGTGAATTAAGTAATATTTAATGAATAAGAATTTGAGCGTCATGTATTTGAAAATAATATACGTCCATAGTTCCTATAAATTTTGAATCCTCCAAAATCAATAACATGGATATTTGAAGCCATAATCAATAACATGGGATATTAAGGGTTAATTGCTAATATATAAATAAAATGAGGGTATATACGTCATATTAGCTTCATAAATTTGTTTTCTTTCTCAAACCCCATCTCATGACATGGTTTTCGCAAATTCATGGACCCCGCATATTTGGTACCTTCAAAAATTTTAACAAGCATGATTTTCTTCTCAAATCCATCACCACAATTCAACAAGCAAATGAGGATTTTATAATTTTTGCGGCCGCTGAATGCTACGAAATGAACATGTCTTGGTTATTACTTATTAGCCAACCAATTAGGGGTGCCAAATCCACCTTGAATATGAACAGTGTCCAATTTATGGGTCGAAATTAGTTTATACGGAAAACAAATCATAATAGAGAAATAGTGAAAATAAGGCAATAAGGTAAACTATGGTTTATACCACAAATTTAATTCAACAAATTCATCATAAAATCAAACAAGCAAACACGAAATACTTTTCCAAATCCATCTTCAAAGTTTTCCAAAATCCTGATTTTATCCAAAATCCTCATTCTTAAACACGTTGACTTCCTATATAATTTGGATAATGAATGTAATTTAGAAATTTCTCAAACCACGTCGTAGATCATTACAAACATCAAATTTCATTTTATATATTTTCATTTTTTACATATAAGCTAAATCCTAACTACGCTCATGAATCAAATGGTAATTCCATTTATCAAATTATTTACCATTACTTTAATAACAAATTTTGGACTCGACAAGCTTGCAAAAATGGGTTGGTTGGGTGGGGTTTGATCATAAAAATGCACTCACTCGCTCTTAAATGAATGGATAATTTTTAACCCACCACTCATCTACATTTAGTCTCGAGTTGGGTGGGTGGATGGCGGATGATGCAGGTGGGTTTGCGGATTCACCCACATCACAATGTACATAATACAAAGGAGTCAACTTGACATGATCCATTTATATTTCAGAACCCCCTGTGTAATATCAAAATGTAAAATAAAAATTCGGGTAAATGCCACCTCCGTCCAACTCCGTTCACTCGAATTGTTTTTTTTTTTTTATGAATGTCACTCGAATTACTAAAACATGTCACATTTAGTCACTCTCCGTTAGCATCCTTTCAACTCCGTTAATGGAGTTGGTCGGTAACTAACGGGAGAATGACTAAAGGTGACATGTTTCAGTAATTCGAGTGACCAAAATTGATATTAATTTTTTCTAGTGACTAAACATGACATGATTTAGTAATATCAGTGACCAAATGTGGCATTTACCTATAAAAATTCATTTCAACATCCATTCACCCTCCAATTTTGAGATTCACTTCAAGTGGCAACATAATCGGTGGAGAGTTATTGAGCGGAAACAAGAAGATGGAATAGGAAGAAAAAATGTCATATTAGTTCTGATATTTGATAGAAATCCTATTATAGAGAAGTTTTCTACAGATGGAGATGATTATCGACCGCAAGAAACTAAGAAAAGTAATTCAACGAAGGAAAGAGAGGTGATTTGGGTACAAGAATCATTGGAAAAAAATAAAGGGAAGAAGCATGAAGTCGAGATTTGGAAGATTGGCTTTGAGATTCCATCTCCAAAAGAAGCACTAGTTTCCGTTAGTGTCTCCACTCTGCACTCTCTAGAGGCAACGACTTTGTTCTTTTTTTTGTCGTTGGGTTGAGCGGGTGACTCGCGCACCCGCCCACAACCCACCTGCACCCAGCGGATGCCTCCCAGCACAATCCTCACCCACCCGCAGACCCACCTACATAACGATATTCGGGTCAAATGCGAACGGATCGGTCCAAACCCGCGGGTGACCCGCCCGCATGCCCAGCCCTAAGTACACCAAACTAAACATTTTATCATGTGCCACAAAAATGTAAACGCAACTTGTAGATTGAAGCTTGAGAGCCCATTATCAACTTATGCAGTTGATAACACTTGACCCACAGGTTGGGCCAGGTTAGACGGCAAAATCATAGGCCTGAAACCTTATGCCTTTGGGCCGGTGGCACGTCTCAACGGGCTTGTGTCAGCAACCCAAGTTAGCCCTGTGAAGTACCGATATGTGGACCTACGCTGCAAGGGGGAAACAACGCGAACCACCAAATGTAATTGTGGGACAAGAATCCAAGTAAAGTAAGCGCATACCAAAACAAAAACCAGACATCTTCCAATAAACCATAGGATGACATTAGATTAGATTCTGTATGCCACATGGCAACCCGGCAGCCATCCTCCTATCCTTCAAGATAAGCCTCTCCTTCCCGCCTTTCTGTATATTACGCCCAACAACCACTCAACTTCCCCTTCAGTCACGCCCAAAAGAAAAAGAGGAAGGAAGAGAACAAACAAACAAAACTCAAAGGGAAGCAAAAATGGCGTCTGTCTGTGCTTCCTCTGCCATTGCAGCCGTCTCTTCTCCCAGGCAAGTTTACCATCTCAAGGTCGTGTAAAAAATTTAATGTTCTAATTATGCTGAGCATTTTTCCGGATGTACAAAATTGCAGTTCACAGAAGAATGGATCTGCTGTTGCGGCAACCAAGGCAGCTTTCCTAAGCGGGAAGAGATTGAATGTCAGGAAGTTGACGTCATCGCCGGTCGCCAGACAAGGCGTTACGGTTTGTGCTGTAGCCGACCCGGAGAGACCCATCTGGTTCCCCGGCAGCACTCCTCCGGCGTGGCTCGACGGCACCCTCCCCGGCGACTTCGGTTTCGACCCACTTGGCCTTGGTACGTAAATAGGAATTTAAACTACTCGACCCAACCTGGTCAGCGCGGATAAAACCCGTGTTGACGAGTTTCGAATTGGATTCGGATTTAAACTCGTTACACTTTTATTGGATTGGGTTGGGTTTAGGGATACCCAACTCATGAGTACTCGACCACAATGATTGCCTCGCCTACTCTCTCCAAACCCTACCCTAATTCTAATTTTCCCCAATCTAAGTTACAATTTGTATGGATAATTTGTGATTTGTTTGAATTTTCTAAACTGGATAATTTTTATCACCAAAATCCATGGATACCCAAGAACCCGCGGATACCCAACAAGTTAGGTTGAATTTGAGTTTTACAAACTCATTGGGTTTTACCCTGAATTTGTTTACGAATAAAGCAGCCAAACCCAAACCAAACCGACCCATTTTCATCCTATACGTAAATTTACTGCAATTGCTTTGGTTTATTCAAATTGGGTTTGATCTAAAATTGGGGTTGGGGGATGATCGATTCAGGGTCCGACCCAGAAACCCTGAGGTGGAACGTTCAAGCCGAGCTGGTCCACTGCCGGTGGGCGATGCTGGGTGCGGCCGGGATCTTCATCCCGGAGTTCCTGACCAAGATCGGGATCCTCAACACGCCGTCGTGGTACACCGCCGGCGAGCAGGAGTACTTCACCGACACCACCACGCTTTTCATCGTGGAGCTCATCTTCATCGGTTGGGCCGAGGGCCGCAGATGGGCCGACATCCTGAAGCCCGGATGCGTCAACACCGACCCAATCTTCCCCAACAACAAGCTGACCGGGACCGACGTCGGGTACCCGGGAGGGCTGTGGTTCGACCCGTTGGGTTGGGGCAGCGGTTCGCCCGCAAAGCTCAAGGAGCTGAGGACCAAGGAGATTAAGAACGGGAGGTTGGCTATGTTGGCTGTGATGGGTGCTTGGTTTCAACACATCTACACTGGGACCGGGCCCATTGACAACCTCTTTGCTCACCTTGCTGATCCTGGTCACGCCACCATTTTTTCTGTAAGTCAAACTTACATATATCTATTGAATTAGTTTAGTGCTGACAAAAGGGTTATGTTAGCTTAGTTTAGGTCACAGTACATTAAGGGTGGTTATACGGTTTTTTACTTCAAATCGATGTCCGAAAATTGGATTGGATTGTTTGCTATCCGGTTCCGGTCCAATCCCGATCTTGATTATACGGTCCGGTTATGGGTAAAGCAAATAGCCCGCCCTAAGAGTAGTTTTGGATTAACATGGTTTCTTGGTATTCAATTGTGTTGTTTTCACAGGCATTCACCCCGAAGTGAGGAAGGAATGGTTCAAGGGAAGGTGAAAATGGGGAAGTAATTGTGATAAATTTGTAAGTTGTCCATGGGGAAGCAAGTGTGTGTTGTTTTTTGAGTGGTGGACATTTGTAATGACCCTTTGTTGGTGGTGTTCTAGAGGAAGGATGGTTCAATGTACAAAAGTTTAGAAACTCCTCTTGTACTTAATTTAGATGCCATGAACGTATTCTATGGTATGCTAGTTATATATCAGAAATAATGTCTGATATATTTGTGACTCATACTTCAGTACCCGATCTCGAATTACATGGCACCTGATCTCGATATGTTTGGTCCTTTCGTGAAATCTTGAATTTTCCTACTAGTGAATTGTTCACTAATTATCCATCAAGACTTGAAAGCCTAGTTTTCATCTCAACTGGTCTGTTTGGAGGCTTAGAATCTGCAAAATCTGAAGCAACGAGCAATTCTAAACAATACTTCCTCGGAGACACAAAATCCCCTTATCTATCTTGCTTATCACCACCAACATTAAGAAGTATTTTAACCTTCCAACACCTCTTACTTAAAATGATGAATTCAAGAATCCTTTGACTTCAATAATGAGTTTTGAGGTTATTTCCAGATCGACGTGATCAAGTCATCAACGTAGATCAACATTATCACTAACCATCTGTTAGTGTTTTTTAGCAAATAAGGAATAGTGTGAGATTGATTGTACAAAGTTAGATCTCAATAGAGTCTTGGATAGTCGGATAACTTTGTGAACCCCTGTCCACATACCAATTTCATGCCATACAGTGACTTCTTTCGCTTGCAGACTTTCCCTTGCAGTTCATCCGATTCCAATCTCAAAGGAAGTTTCATGAATAGTTCATGATCAAGGACTCCATGCAAGATGCATTACTAATGTTAAGCTGCTTAAGATGCCAACCAGTCACCGTTGCAACAAGCAACGTCTTCCTCGTGTTCATATTCACCCCTAGGGAGAAAGTGTTCAAGAAATCCAATTCATATACTTGGATAAATAATTTTTCAACTTGCTTTAATTAGTTTCTTTCTATGAAGTTTGATCTTGTATACTCATTTATTCCCCACTGATTTCCTGTCCACTAGATAATTCACAGTATCTCTTGAGATAAATGAACTTTTACAGCCTCTTTTACGGCTTCGTGGTACCATATTGGTAACAATAAGTACATAGTCCTTATTTGGCAGGTTCTCACAATTGAGCAGATTATCTAGTGGAACCTTAGCATGAGCATACCCTAAGAAGTAGACTGAAAGGTATCCTGAAATTCTTGCCACTCTATTTGATCATCTCGATCTATGGTTGTCTGGATTTGGTTCACCATCGTCAGCATCTTGATCATCATCTTCTTTATCATATTATGAAACTTCATCAATTATTGCTTGCAATTATCCTTCAAAGCAGATGAAACTAAGTTAATCTTATTTGATAACTCTTGTATGTGGGTCACCATTGATGATGATTCCGCAACTTATAGTAAATTTCCCTTTCTTATATTCTTTCCTCGCCTTCTATCACCCCAATCATAGCTATTGAGAGCAATCTCCTCGATTAGCTTTTGCATTTAGCCTACTTTATTGCTTCAAATGCTCCCCTGCTAGCAACATCAATCAAGTGGCGAGATTCACAAGTGAATCTATTGTAGAAGCTCTCTACTTGTAGCCAGTCGGCTATTCCATGGTGTGGACACTTGAGAAGAAGTGAGGTGAACCTCTCTCATGATTCATATATAGGCTCTTCTTCCTCTTGCTTAAACATTTGAATCTCACTCCGCATTAACGTCATCTTTGATGGTGGAATATATCTAGCAAAGAATTTATCGCATAGGTCCGCCGAAGAAGTGATTGAATGATGAGGATGATTGTTCAGCCATTGCTTCGCTGCCCACTCAATGTGAACGGAAAAAGTCATAGTTGAATCACTTTAGGGGACTCCATTGATCTTAATATCTGTGAGCTTATAGAACAAATTGATGTGAGCATGTGCCTCGTCACTCATTTCTCCATGAAATTGAACTGCATTCTTAAGCATGGATATTATCCCCATCTTGATTGTTAAGTTGTTGGTGGGGACAATTGGGTGAAGTAACGGTGATTGCATATTGTCAACACTTGGTCTCAGAGGCGGACGCACGGGTGATTGGGTGTGTCTCGGAACACCATTAATCTTTGGGAAAACGATTATCCAACCTCCAGTGGTAAATTACGCATAAACAAAAAAATTATAATTGATAGTCGGGGACACCCTTAAAATTTGAAAAAATAATTATCCTACTCTCATCTTTTAGTTTGTTTATGGGAATTTAAGTTGTAGTTTGAGTAATTCAAACCTAGGACGCTATTTATTATTAATAAAAATAATTTTCTTTAGACTACAACTCATTTGTTGTTCGATTTTATACACTGTGTAATAGTAAAATGTCATTCACTATCTCTAATTATTTTCAAACCTACCAATTAAACAAATTATTTTAAACACTGTTGTACTACAAGTGTTGAAAGAGTCTTTTGTTTTGGGCTACATCAAGAACAAACATAACAATGGGATATGTGATCAGTTCGTGAATGATTCCAATAGGATATACAAAGACAATTTTTTTGAATAGTGTAGACACCAAGTGTATTTTACAGTTATTTTCGAATATGAAAACACATCATGGACTTTTTTTAACTCAAACGATTCAGGTATTTTCTTATATAAGAATTATTTAATTTTTAATAATTATGTAATAATTATTTTTATTTAATTTATATTTTAAAAGAGGACACCCCTGTGTAAAATTTTTGGGAATTTTTCCAGAAATAGCACCTTTAAAAAAATTACAAAAATAGCACACATTCCATAGAAATTACAAAATAGCACCCTTTTTAAAAAACCGCACCCCCTGGTGCGTTTTGCATGTAAATCGCACCCCCTGGTGCGTTTGGTATTTAAAACGCACCCCCAAGGTGCGGTTTAGCTTTCTGGGCCAAAACCGCATCTTGGTCATGCGGTTTGCGGTCCGACCTAATCAAACCGCATGGCCCAGATGCGGTCGAGTCCTGACCTAGCAAAACCGCACTTTGGGGATGCGGTATTGCTTCTCCAAAACAAACCGCACCCTCAAAGTGCGGTTTTGGCAATACAAACCGCACCCCCCCCATGCGGTTTGTGTGTCAATTATTTTCCGACACCAGACATACAGCCATGCAGATTGACAGGCGTGGGGTTGCATGGCAGATGAAAACCGCACCTCTAAGGTGCGGTTTTCATTGATGCTTTTGCCTATAAAAGGCAGCCCGGGAAATCTCTTCTCATCACACCTCTCCTTCTCCCTTTTTAATTTTTTGTTGTAGCTCCCTATTTCTCTAGTGTTTTTGCGGTTAACGTTAATTCGTAAGTTTATTTTGTATTACTTTTTATTGTGAATTGTGAATTGTGATTTTTATAATATTAGTTGAACTACTGTTTTTTTGCAGATGGCATTCCAAAAGTTCACGCTTGGGTTATGGTGGAATGGTTACACGGAAGAGAGCGGAAAGGGGGTCACTTACGTCGGTGGCAATTTTCAGAAAATAAAGGTCGCTACCAGACTGATGTTTGAAGACCTCTATCGAATGTGTACTAACGTTACTTGCATGGATGGCACGAGAAGAGTTGATCGTATGGTGTACCGATATCCAAACAGAGAAGGCGGGTCGTTGTGGCACGAGGAATATCTCATAACCACTCATTATAAGGTAGATGCCATGCTCGAATTCTTGAGGTCCAACAATCTTTCCAGAGCCAAGATGTTCATTTACACCGAGCCGGTCGTAGGCGTTGGAGGTCATTCTGGAGACGGTCAAACATCTAGTATCCATGGTGGAGGTGAATTATATGGAGATCATCCCTACCAAAGTTACCATGATCCTCATTCCTATTTTCAGTACCAAGAGCAAGGTGAAGGTCATCATCAATCTTACCCGTCCTATGAAGAAGAAGTTCAACCGGACCATGCCAACCAACCCTAGTACAACTTCCAATCAGGCAGTGGTAGTTTTCACAACTACCATTATGGAGCTGATGAAGGTGCCTTTCATGAGCTGGATCAGATGGAAGATGCCCTGCCAGCACCAGTCAGTGACCCCTCCGATGAAGAAGGAGAGAACAACGTCAGTGCAGACAGCTCCGACCCTCTTGAAGGTGCTGATGATTCAGGACCAGAGTCAGACTCAGATAATGATGATGAGGTGGCTCATGACCGTGTACCACTCCCCTACTACAATCACATTCCATACGACAATTGGATGGTCGACAGCGACATGGAACCCCCAGAGGTTCCAATATGGGGTGCACTCACTGGGTTTATGAAGGGCCAACAATTTGGCTCGAAGAAGGAGGTGCGACACGCCATTGATACTGAAGCAATGACTCGGCATTTTAAATGGCACACAACTCATTCCAACACGAAAAGGCTCATAGTCAGATGCCGTAATCATAACGAGGGATGCAATGTTAGGATTCGAGCCATCAACAGCAAGAGACACGGCCATTGGGTCATATCTCGTGCGGTGAACGCACACACATGTGTGTCATCCATAACATCCCAAGGCCATCGACAGTTGAAATCCAGGGTGGTTGTTGCGGCTATCAAGCATCTAATTGAGCAAGATCCTGACCTGAAGGTGAAAGTCATAATCGATGACATTGCAAGTCGTTATGGTTATATGATTAACTATAAGCAGGCGTGGCATGGGAAGCAGAAAGCTCTGGCCGCCGTATTTGGTGATTGGGAAGAATCATATGCATTCCTTCCCAGGTTGATTTTGGCACTAGAGGTGTCTAACCCTGGCACTTTTTTCTCCCCTCGATACCAAGATGAAGAGGTACAACCGCCAGAGCCAGGTAACAAACGCCATTTCAGACGACTTTTTTGGGCATTCAAGCCATCTATTGATGGTTTTGGCTTTTGTGTCCCTGTGATCCAAGTGGATGGTACATTCCTTACCAGCAAGTACAAGAGCACTCTACTGATTGCCAGTGGGGCGGATGCAAACAAACAAATCTTCCGTTAGCCTTCGCCATTGTTGAGGGAGAGAATACTGATAGCTATGGATGGTTTTTCCGGCAAATTCAGCTCCACGTCACTAGGAGGACGAACCTCACAATAATCTCTCATCGACACGCCGGGATTAGAGCTGCCATCTTAGGTTTGGATCCTGCCTGGAAGTGGTCCCAAAGGTGGTGCATACGACACTTCAAGAGCAACTGGAACCATCATTTCAAGCGGAAGAAGCTTGCTGATAATTTGTGGTGGATTGGTAAGCTCTCTATTGGTTATTTAATTTTTTCTGATAACCATATCTTATATCAAATAAATGGTACACTTGTTAGACTCTTTCTAAAGAGATGCATGCCTAAGGAAATGGGGTTTTAAGCGATTATCATGGTCCTCCCAAATTTCTGGGTCCGCCACTGCTTGGTCTAGAGAAAGATCCCATCTTCCTTGACCTATGTTGTGGTTGTTCTTGTTCCACCATTGATTGAGCATGTAACCTTACG